ATATACAAGGTCTGGCTATTAATTTCCAGGACTCATGGAATAACTCAGAAGAAAAAAAAGTTAAACACATAGCCATTTAATATTATTCGAAGTAATCCCCATCAGCCGTAATGCACGTCTGTGCTCGGCTGTACAAATTTCGGAAAGAAGTTTTAAAGTCCTCTTTCGGAATGCTCTTTAATAGTGACGTTACAGTCTTCTTGATGGCTTCGACATCTTGAAATCTTGTCCCCTTCAGCGAATTTTTCAGCTTAGGAAACAGTCTGCGGGTGCTAGGTCTGGAGAGTATGGTGGATGCTGCATCTTAACGACACCATGCTGGGTTAAGAATAGCCTCACAGGCAGCGCAATGTGTGGTCAGCGAACTTTTTCAATTGCTTCGGGCGTGCGTAACGACTACGGCCAACCTGTGTGTAGATCATCTTCCACGCTTTCGCGCAGTCCCGAAAGCTTTTAAATCATTCAAAAGTTCTTGAGCGACACAATGCTTCCTCGCCGTAAACTTGTTTTAACAATTTGTAGGTTTCCGCAGCTCTCTTGCCCAATTTGAAGCAACATTTAATGTTTATTCTTGCTCCATTGTCACTTCGACAACAGGAATTTAAGAGCTACGTTTTAATGCGCCTTTCTACGAGAACCACTTATTTCAGCATGGTGCCGATTGCACTGCACATGCGCAAGAATGCACTCTTCAATATGCAATCATTAGCGCCTTCTTCCGGCTTTTCGTTCTCCTACAGTTACGTCAGTCCTGGAAATTAATAGCCGGACCTTGTATATACTTCAATATTAAGAACAAAAGAAAGAAATATTTTTAAAATTATTAATTTATTCATTATTTCAACTTGATTTTTAATATAAATAAGTTTGAATCTTTAACAGATGTTTGTTTCTGCCACCTACTTATAATAAATATTCTATCAGTGGTTTTATTTAAGCTAAGCACAATATTCAGTGCAGATAACATTCTTCAACTAAGTGTTATTTACATAATAGTTATTTATTGATATTCAGAATTTTAAAGTTAAGTACTTTTAATTGAAAGTTTATTTAAAAGAAATATATAATCATATAAGCAAAAGAAAAATAATAGTTTTGTCTAGTCCAATTAAATATAAATACTTATTTTAAAAAAAGTACTGCGGCCAGATACCGGATATCCAGCTCAAAGATTGGCCGGATATCCGGTATCTGGCCAAATTAAGATCCGTTGCATCACTAATATCCAGCACAACCAAAAAATCAATCATTAAAAAAAAATCAAGCATAAAATGCTCAGAATAGTGCATTCTTCTTGACCCTTTCTATTTTATTTAACATGTCCAGCAGACTTTTGAGTGCAAATTGAATTTAATAATGCCTAATTTCATATTTTGTAAAAGAAATTTGTTTTAAGTTTCAACAAATTTTTACAGTATATAAAATACAAAAACTATGAAAACAGTAAAAACTATGATTTTAAATAAGCTGTAATATTTTTTTTCATTTGTTCTTAATTATATAGGAACTCAAGAACATTATTGATATGTTTATTAGATTCCAAAAATTCATATTTTTGAATAGATATGATAGTGATTACAGATTTTTTAAAATATATGATTAATGATAGTAACAAAAAAAAATATTTTTAAGCATTTCCATTTACTTTCTGCCTCAATCTGACTTATAATTATTTAGCATAAGGATCCATAACCTATATTGAAAGAAGACTGCAAGTTGTGCAACCCTTATTTAGTAGAACTTAAAATTTACTAATTTAAAATTCACAGGCATGTGAATTTTAACCAGACAACTGAGAGAAAACAGACATGTCACAACATTTATGCAATAACATAAGATTTTAAAAGTATTATTTCTAAATTACAAATTAAACTAAAATAAGAATGACAATTTAAAAGCATTAGAATATTAAATAAAATAAAAAATTAGAACTTAAATATTTTTAATTGCTGTGTTTTATTAATTTCAAATGCAGCTAAACATAAAAACATATTAGTTCCCGCTCAGTATATTGTAGAGGCTGGGAAATCATTGAAGAAAGATTTTTCCAACCAGTATAAATATAGGTTCCAGTACATACCAGTATAGGTTCAGTCGGAGTGTAGTAGTGAGATCCAGCATGTCGAGACATTTATCATACAACAGATTTTCTGGTATAACAAAGTAAAGTGTGGCTACTGTGATTTGCATTCACTTTTTGCAAGGATATCCTATTTTTCATTTCCATTAAAAGGCATTTTAGTTTCTTCCACAAAGTAAGAATCACTTACGGAATGTGAAGTAATAGCCAAGATTGCAGGATGGTAGTCAATAAAAATGAAAACTTTCTTAGTTGGTGAGCTCAAATTTTAAAGATTTAATATGGTTATTTCAGATCTTCATTATTACTTTTATAGTTACATAATTGTATTATAGTTACATACTTTGTACACTATTCGGTACGTTTTTGCTAATGAAACAAAACTAAGCAAAAAACAGTAAGAATGCAATTATTTATACCAACCAGAAAGCAAGTCTCTGTTCCAAATCTCTCAGCAAAAAACAATGCATCTCATGTAAAGGGTCAACAACTGATAAAAACTGCTCAATAGCTTCTGATCTTACATCCTTTTGACTGTAATAGTTATCTCGAAATGTCTGAAAATAAAGAGTAAATTTAAATAGAAAAAAATTATGTAAATGTATCATTTACAGAAAAGTGTGCCACATGAAGACACATTTTTGGAATTTTAAAAACAAAAAGTAGTCAAAACTCCCAATATTATTCTGTTATACATATAAACTGTTATTATTTATCATTTGAATTCAAATATAATTTTAAGATATCTTTTAAAAGCAAATTATTATTCACTCACTGCATCCCTATTCACACATATAGATAAAGAAAAATAATTTCTGCTGTACTGCAGCATATATACTTAAATTGCTTGCAAATAAAATTTACTAAATGTACTTAAATAAAGCTTTATCCCTCATATAAGTTTTATATTTATATTTAAGGCACTTAAAAGATATTATCACACTTTTAACTTTGTACCTGGAAACATTTGCACATAAAACAATATATAGGTGTTTATATAATCAGCAGACAACAGCATATGGCTAATACTGGTCAAATTTAGTTTGTATAGCAGTAAAGAAAAGAAGTCATATTGCTTTCAATTGGAACAAACATTAGAATTCTACATTGAATAGAACATGGCTTTCAAGTATTATATTAACATAATTATTTTTATTGCATGTCAATTCCTTACTCATTATAAAATTAATAAAAGGAAATGAAATTTTTTTTCTTCCTCAGATTAATAAAAATATGTTTCTATAAATATTTGATGTTTGAAAATGTACCTATGGCTAAATTTTTTTTTTAATAAAATGGTTTATGAAAGAAATTTATCATTCCCTCATTTTTCCAAAAATTGAAAATAATTATAATTCCTGGGAACTATCAGATACAGATTGGTTTATGCTATTTTTATTAAATGTAGTACATATGTAACAACCAAAAAATTCTAAAATTTTTATAGCAAATTTATTTGAGCTCGTTTTTTTTATTTAAACAAAGTAGTCATTTAGTATTTGCTCGTACATTGGGAGAAAGCTTTCTTAATTAAAAATAATTTCCTCTGCACATGAGAATAGTTCTCAATCTTTATTGCTGTTACCGTTCAGAGAAAATATCTGTAGGTGTGAAGATGATCTATAAGAATCATTATTGATCACGCTGCAGTGAATTTAAAGTATCCAATCAGGGTGTTGTTGGACCACAAAAATGACAGGAAGACATCGAAAGTTAAAATGTTGCACTTTTATTCCAAAAGGCACAGTTAAAATGCAATGAGTGTGATCGGGCAATATGAATAGAACATTCTCGTTCTTTCATGAATCTGTTTTGTCCTCCCTTTTAAAGATTTCTCCTACAAAGTGTAATAATATTTTCTGTTTATTCAAAACGCATTTACAATTAACAAATCCCAAGAAGAGATTGATTATGTTAATGACGCATGAGATTTTGCAGCTTTGTTGATGTTTAAGAATTTTAACGTGAGCTCTATGTGGCTTAAAAAATTTAAAAGAAGACATAACGTCATTTTCCGGACTCTCTCTGGTGAATCTAAAGATGAATCTAATGAAATATGTGAACAGTGGATTAATGAAACCCTATCATACTTGTTTTGAGGATACCGTGGAAATGATGCTTTCAATATTGATGAAGTGGGTTTGTTCTTCAAATGTCTTCATAATTAAAGCAATCAATTTCAAAGATAAAAATTGCTCAAGAAACAAAAAGCACCGACCAGCATTAGTTGTAGGCAATGCTTCAAGTACTGAAAATTTGTTTTTGCCTATGATTGCAAAGTATAAAAATTCCCATTATTTTAAAAATGTAAAAACTTTTCCTTTGGAGTACAAATCTAACAAAAAACAATGGATGACAACAATTGTTTTTTGAAAGTTATATAAGGAAATTAGACAAAACATTTATAGCCCAAAAACAAAATGTGATAACAAAAAGCGATCATTTTTGTACCGTCTACATCAAAGCAATACATTTGGAAAAAAAAGTGAAAGCAATAAATTTGTAATTTCTGCCACCAAACACATCACCTGAAGGATCAGGGCATCATAAAGTGCCTGAAACAGTCTTATTGTAAACGGCTAGTCTGGAAAACAATAAACGATATTGAGAACAATTGTCTCAATTGAAGTTGATGTATTTCAAGCCATAATGAGACGGATTTCCTGAGTATCACAGAAAAGATTGATGAAAGTGATGGAGAAGATGAAAATATAGAAGCACCAGTTCAAAGCACACCAGAAGATTGAGCTTCATTTGAGATCCTACAAAAATTCATAGAGAGCAGAAAAAATGTGGATGCTTCTATATTTGTTATAGATGATTTGTAGTTTACAGAGACTCAAAAGTTCTTAATCTAAAATAAAATGTCAAATTACTTTGCAAAAATGTGAAATTTAATTATAAGTAAGGCTGTTTTATAATAATCTTGTTTATTTTTCTTCATATTAATTATAATATCTAAATTTAGTAACTATATATTAAAAAACAAAACAAAAATGTAATCTAATGATATATTGATGCTTTTTAGTTCGTTCCGATTTGAGTTATCTTGAATTGACAGTATATAATATTTGAATTGACAGTATATAATTTTGAATTGACAGTATATAATATTTTTGAATACATAATTTTGAAAACTAATGGATAAGGAGCTCATTTTAGATAGTTATAACAAATTCATTAATTAGTTTGAAAATTGAGAGTTTCAGATAATAAAAAAATAAAAAAAAAGACTGAAAATTTCAGAATATTAAATGAAGAATAGCAAGTTTACTTCCATATTTAGTGGTTTTACTTATTCAAATATTTTTAAAAAAATTATAAATAGATTAGAAATGAGTAACAAATTCTATTTTGTAAATATTTTTTTCTGTAACTCAACAGATTTTCAAAATTTTAAAATTATTATTATTATAAAACCTTACTATTATTACACAAATACTCAAGAGAATAATTGATTAAAACAGGGGACTAGGAATAACTTGTAAAACGCAGAAAGCTCAGAGGAAGTATAAAAAAAAAATACTTTGAAATTGAGAAAAACATCTGTGGAACCTGTCTAAATTGACCACCCTCGGGATCATGTCAAATGGTCACTATATAGAGGTGGTCACTTTATGAAAAATCTTTGAAAAGGACTCTTTAAATAAAACTTGTAGAAAATGGTCACCTTACTCAGATGCTCACTTTACCCAGGTGGTCACTTTTACAGGTTCCACGTATTATTTATTACATTTCACTATGCATTACTAAGCATACATTATTGAAAAAAAGGTAAATAGTTTAACAGATCCTTTAGAGAGTGATCTACATTATACAACTTATACATTAAGTCAGAATAAATATAAACAAAGTAACTTACAACATTAACAACTTCGAGATCTTTTCTATAAGTCCTTTCAGTCATTAACAATTCCTTAGCCAAGCAATACGCTCTGTCATTCATGACTTTCTATAAAATCAAATAGAAATTTTACACAATAGTTAAATTATAGAGAAAAACTTATGCACAGTAGAGTCTGGATAGTTCAAGTTTCCCACAAGTCGGACTTAGTGAAAAAGATCACACTTGCTCCCAGATAATGACTAATGCACACACAACATGACTAACAATTACTCTGACTGGTTTTTATTGTTGTTCAGGGTGTGCAGCCAAATTATTCAAGAAAAAATAAGCACCTTTTAAGCACTTTTCAAGCACTCAAAAAATATTTTTAAGCACTTTAAAAATTATCATAATTAGGCAGGGTTGGAAAATTTTTGGCAATTGACGGTTTTATTTTGTTTTAACCATCATGTCAAAAAAAAAAAAACCTTTTGCCATTGTTTTTGACGTCAAAAATCATATAAAATTAATGGTGCTTTCATACGCTACGGACTAACAATACGCTAAAATAGATTGGGGTTGAATTGATTGTGAAAACGTTGAATAGAACAATGTGAACTGTGTCTTTTTGCATAATTCGTAGCAAAAATCAACATGGTAAAGAAAAAATCTCATTTTGAAAAAAGGAAAATTAAGCACTTTTTAAAAACACCCAATGAAAAAAGCACCTTTAAGGGCTTTTAAAAAACGGAAATAAGCACCTTTAAGTACTTTTTTAAAATGCTACGCACCCTGTTGTTCATAGAGTAATATAACAATGCCCACCCCAGAAAACACCTGTAAAAAACAGCTACATATTCTTCTTATACTTGCTGGGAAAGGGGCTTGCTCAAGGGCAAGGTGAAAAGGGTTGTTAAACAAACTCCCACCCCATTTGTTTTTCCATTCAGTCCTTTCTTTATTCATTTGCTTGGACAATCTAAACATTATGAAATAATTTTTAATCAAAAAATTTAGATTTACTGCCTGTCCCAACTAATTTTGCTTTTTCACAAAGTCATATTTTAACACAGAAATAAAAGTATTTCGAATTTAATTATTAATTATTTTGAAACTTGAATTAATTTTTTAATGCTTATCGTTTTATAAAATTAAAAGTGGAAATTCTTATTTTGTTTTAAATGTGAATTTTCTAATTATAGCAATTTTTTATGTTTACTTCTTTTTCGATGCAAAACTTGAAATGTTTTTTTTTCTTCAAAAAAATAACAAGGCCTTAAGCCGATTATTTTAAGTTCCGTTTTGCAGCATGCACTACAATTAGTATTAAGACTGATCAATTTTCACCAGGGTCCAGAGGAAATTTTATGAAGTTTAACAGATATGCAACATAAAAAGCAATGAATATGTTGTTAATTATTGTTGTTATCCACATTAACTCCTTACTAACGGTATCGAATAAAACAAAGTAAACTTTTAATTCAGGAAAGCTTACCCTTTTACTGGATAATCAGCCAGCAGAATATGGACTGCTGCTTACATGAAAAGTTAGGGGAAAAAAAGTTTTTTTGTTTACTTTTTTAAATGCAAAACTTTAAATGTTTTTAAAAAATAATGCTTTAAGCTGATTATTTTAAGTTTCGTTTTGTCGCATGCACTACAATTAGTATCAAGACGTATCAATTTCCACTAGGGTCCAGAGGAAATTTTTGAAGTTTAACAAATATGCAACATAAAAAGAAATGAATATGCTGTTAATTATCACATTATTAATGGCATCAAATAAAACAAAATATACTTTTATTTCAGAAAAGCTTACCCTTTTACTGGATAATCTGCCAGCAGAATATGGACTGCTGCTTACATAAAAAGTTGATGCTCCAAAAACGTGTTCAGAATTCTTTGAGTTGTTCAAAGTTTCTTCATTGCTTGAATTTTTCGAAGATTCTCTGAAATAACTGTCGCTTAAAACATTCTTATAATTTTTCAACTCTTGCGACAAAATGTTTTCATTGTAGGATAAATTATCACTGGAACTCAAACTAATGCCATCTTGTTCTTGACTCAGTAGAATCTGTTTTAAATTATTCATGTCTTGAGATGAAAGATCAAGAGAGTCTGTGGGAGATGATTCTAAGATGTTTAAATCATTAGTTTTCGAATCGATTTTTAAAGTCTCAATAGACTCAGTGTTGTTATTATCAGCCTTAACGGATTCAAGATTATTATTGTAGGCAACAGGATTCAATGCAGAATTGTCTTTGATTTCTCCCACGCTATTTCCTACAGACAATAGAAAATGGAATTAATGAACAAAAAATAAGCTGTTGTATAAATGTATATAAAAAAAGGAAAGGTAGTAAAGACAATAAAAAAGTATACACATAAAAACAAATTAAATAACTTAAAGAACAACAAAATGCATTTTAAAAGTCCAAAAAATGAAGGCAGTAAAAATTATACTCATAATTCTAAAAAAGCAAAGAAAACTAATTAACTAAAAAAAAGTTGTTTAGTATATGGGCAAAAAAGATTTAGAAAAATACACACTTAATTCCCTAAAAACAAAGAAAATTGAATAACATAAAACACAAATTGCTTTGCAAATAAAAAAATAATGGCAGTAAAAAAATATATTATTCTCTGAAAAGAAAATTAAAAGAGTATACATATAATTCTTTAATGACAGGAAAAAAAATAATAACTAAAGAAACCAGTTTTTTTTAATATGTAAAGGCAGTAAAGTTGGTAACAATATTCAGAGAGTTAATTTTAAAATGGTTTAAATTAGTTAATTTGTTAGTAAGCCATTATTAACATACTGCTTCATTTGGCTGAATCTACTGTTCATTCATATATACAAGAAACTCTAAAAAATAGCAATTAAAATGATTTAGTAAATAAAACACAAGGATCTGAATGGAAAAATTAACCCGAAATTGATAGTTCCACTATTGACCTCAAAATTAAAATAATCTTAGTCCATTTTTAAGAAAGCTAGGATAGTTCACTTAAAACGTGCTGCAAAAAAGCTGCTATACAATCACAATGAGCCAATCAAATATTTTTTTGGAAAATGGTACTTCAAAATGTATAGTACAGAACCTGTTATCCGGAAATCAGAAAACCGAAAAACCGGAACGAAATTCGATAAATTTTCCCGCCATTTTTAAATTTTTTTTTTTTTATCTTCCTCATAAGATTTTAGGATTCTTCTTTTTTTTAAAACATGTTTACCTTACCNAAAACCGGAACGAAATTCGATAAATTTTCCCGACATTTTTTAAAATTTTTTTTTTATCTTCCTCATAAGATTTTAGGATTCTTCTTTCTTTTTTAAAAGATGTTTACCTTATTATCATTTTGGAAACAATCATTAGTGTAATACTTCATCGTTTTTTCTTCTTTTTAAGACTATTTCCAAATATTTTTCTTTTTTAGTTGGATTTAACAATAAAAAAACGGCTTTTTGTAGCGATTCAGAAAACCGGAAAAATCAGTTATCCGGAATAGCGATGGTCCCGATCGTTCCGGATAATCGGTTCCCTACTGTAGTTTAATTGATGAACAACATTCTTGCTAAAATAAATAAACTTAGGGGGGTCGTTTAATAAAAAAGGCTGTGGATTAAAAAATAGATATATAATTCAATTAAATATGGATAAGACATATAAACAGGGTTCCCACTCAATTTCAGAAAGAAAAAAAAAAAATCCCTAACTTTTCCTGGTATACCAGGTAAATTTCAATGAAAATCAAGACCATATTTTCATCAGAAAACCTTGATTTGTTGTGTGAAATATTAGATTTTCTGTGTAAAAAAAAAATCATTGAATGAGGATGGGAACATTTCAGACTGACTAAAATGTGAAATTTTCGCAACAAATAATTGTAATGGATGTTAGAATTATTTAACTTGGGAACCCTGACATGAAGGCACTATTTGTCCCAATAAAGTGTTCATAAGAGGGAGTTTTGCATATCTCTTGGGCATAATGATTCAACAGAAAGTGACATTTCTGCCAAGATACAGCTCACACAACCACTCAAAAAGTGAGTGTAAAAGGTGGCTGATATTTTTCATAGATAGGCCATGTTGTATTCAGATTCAATTCAACCATTATAACATAATTTTGTTTTTAAATGTTTTCTGTTATAGAGCATAGTAGTAATAACTTAGGCAGCTCATAATGAATCTAACATGGATTAAAGATGTGCATGGGTGCCACTCCAAAAAAAATCCAAGACTGAACTTATTTTTTGACCAATTAGCAGGATCTAATGTTACCAGAATTTTTAGAAATTTATAGCTCAAAAATGTACCTTTCTATGATAATGTCATATATATTTAATCAAGTATTTGATTATTTTTCTAATTCTTTTTTTCTTTTTCTTTCATTTTATTAATTTATTTTTTTTACAGCAATCAAGATAAAAATAACAGCTAACTCCATACATCTTTATGCACCAATCACTAAATAAAAAATCACAATTTTGTTTTCTTTTTTCATGAAGCTATTCATATTTCTACTTATTTTTCGCTTCATCATTATTTTTTTTGTCTTTCTCTAGATTTATTTTATTTTATTTAAAAAAAAATCTTATTTTTAACTTGGTCAGCATTTTAAAACAATGGGGTTAAATGAAAACTGAAGCAAATTTAGACATGACAATAGTACAAGTTTTTTGTAAGCAAGCAGGCACCGAAGCATTGTTTATAAACCCTCATTTTTTGCAAAACTTTTACGTTTTTGAATGCTTGCCTAGTAAAAGAATCAATCCCATTTTTTCATTTTTGGTGTAACATACTTGATCAATTCGCAATAATTATGAAAAATACCAATGTTTTCATTAAAATGTATAGTTTTTAACAGAAAATATTTACTAAATTTTTAAGGAAAAAAACGGCTATTTTAATTTAAAAAAATACATGGAAAAGCGATATTGATTCATGAAATTTAGTCTACTGATTTTTTTCTAAGACTGATTTCAGTCCCCAGGACTGAAGAGTTGGCACCTTTGAAGATGTATGAATTCACACACAAAACAAATAATTGCAATCCAAGAATATAAAAAAACTATCTACAAAATGTCCTCAGAACAAGAACTAAGACATTGATCCACCTAACATTGTAGTCCATATATGTCCCTAGCTGACTTGTCCCCATATGCTAAAAAAAAGCACTATGGGGACAATAGTTTCAAATGGAATACGAAATCAATGAGTGGGTGTACTACTGGTTCAAATAGCAGATTAGGGGTAAACTACAAGCCCTCTCCCATATTTATGTAAAAAAGTTTAAATTAATTGAAAGTTACAACAAATTTTTTTTTACTTCAACTTTTATTGTAGTGATGTAATTTTAACCTTTTCAAGATAGTCGAGTCATACATGCATTCTCAGGGTGTTAATAATCAGGGTAAAAAAAAGATAAAACTGGTAGCTAAACTATTTTTATAGCAGTTGATTTGTGGGTGGGGTAATAATAGTTTGCTTTATTTAATTCACCACTACTTAGTTCAAATTAAAAATTATATAATTACACTTTTAACACACTAAGAGTGGATGTGTTAGATTTAAAGTGAAAGCAAAAATAAGTCTGTCAAATTAGCTATGCCCAAACTTAAGCTACCACTTTTTTATTTTTTACTAACCTGATTCTGATTCCTAACGAATACATTTATGATCCGCCCATCCCGAAAAGGTTAAGATTAAATTTAAATAAAGAAATATAACTTCTTATTAAGTAAAAGTTACACTTACCAATACCTTTCATAAAATTTTGGAACTCATTGGAAGATCAATCCCACCTTTTTCTTTTTTCAAATTTAAACATTATTTCAAATTTGAAAATTTTTCACATTTTGTTAAAATATAATTTTGTTTTAATTTTGAATTTTAATAAAATGAAAATTATGGGATTTTAAGGTGTTACATAAGCATTATCCAGACCCTTCTCTGCTGTTTCAGCAAACTGTCACCCCATTCGATTTAAAAGACCCTTTAAAGATTTCTTACAAGCATGGTATTGAGCAACTAATGTGATCATAGGCTTAATTCTTAAGCAATTGTAGATAACAGTTTTGAGTTTCATTAAATAAATTGTATGAAATAGCTTCTTCCACTTCATTTATTGACTTTAACTGATAAATCTTTTAGAGTTACATGCAGTATTTAAAAAATATCTTATTTCTTAAAACATAATATCAATCTAACAGTTTTTAGTACGGTACCTTTGGTATGATAGTTATAAGTTTTAAAAGTACAAAATTAAATAAAGAAATCAGAACTGATATTTTGTGATCAAGATAACCTCTTAATGGCTTGTAATAAGAAATACATTGCTAATAGATAATTATTTCTCTTTTCCATTTCATAAATTTGCTAAAGAATCACATAGAAACAAAGTTCTTTTAAATATTTTTAATCTATAAGAAATCTACTGATAATAACTATTTTAGTTTGATTTTTGGAATATCTACCACACCAGAATCCTACCACACTTTTTTAAAGGATTCTAAAAGAATGCAGAGATTGTAAAAAAAAATTATGTGTTCTGAAAGAATGTAAAATTGCAACTAATAAATAATAGCGTTTTTTAACATTTAACCACTAAGAAAAAAATAACTTATTTCAACTAAGAAACCCCAACCATTTTGAATTATCCAAAAGATAATGCAATATTGTTTTCATAATGCAATCAGAATATCACAAAAACAATGCTTGTCTACTATTACGTGAATAAGTTTAAGTAAGAACTGATTTAGAGTAAATCAACATTGTTGAAATTTTTTTAAATATTAACTGACTTAATGTCTTGAATCTAAAATTTATAGGTTAATTCCTAATTTAACCCTTTGCCTGTAGAATACATTTGAGAAAAACAAGCCAAAAATGGAATAAAATTTTTTTACTTTAATGTTGTTCATTATTTATCATGAAAATGTTAGAAATAGGTAACTGTATAAAGAAACAAAATTTAAAACGAAATAGCTACAAATCAATACTTTCACATAAATGGGAAATGTTAATGGATCACAGTAATTTTTGCTCAAATTATAGCAAAATAAATCAAATTACGTAATTTTCAAGATAAATAATAATAATTTAATACAACAAATATTATTATTTATATCAACTGTCATGTTTTCCATGACCCTCAGATTCCTTTGAATTTCCGACAAATGCCGGGAAAACTGCCGAACTTTTCGCAAGAAAACTTAAAAACAAGTATCGCAATCTATTGGGAAAATAGTAAATTACATAATATGCATTGGAGGAA